CGCCCTCTTCTCCCACCCACCACCCCGGGGGCTCGCCGCCGTCCGTTCGGTTCCTCTTTGGGGCTCCCCGTTAAAAGTTTCTGCTCAGAGTCCGAACTTTTCCGCCAGGGGAACGTGGGGCTGGCTAAACCCTCGCGGTGCTTTCGCTTCCCCCGCTTCTTGCTGCTCTCGCTGCCCGGCTGCTCCTCGCCTGAGCGTTCCTGCCCGGCGGGCGGAGGCGAACGGTGCGTTTTGAGCTGATGGAGGCAAAACCGCTTGGTGCCTGGCTGCTCTGTTTCCTGCTCTTACACCTGGAGACTCCCACCAGGTGACCCACTTGGCTTTAGACCTCCCAAATCCCGTCGGTGTCCCTTAACGAAGCCAAAAATCATGTGGGGCTCACATCTCCTGCCCCGGAGCTGAGGTGGGGAAGTCGAGGCTGAGGGCTCTTACGGAGGAATTTGCCGCTTTGCTCTTGAAGATCAGGACAGGGAGAAGTGTCGAGTCTCTTCTGCAGGGCCCCGGGGGTAGATGTACCTCGAGTCCTCCCGTTGCTTTGGAGCATCTTGTGGGTCTCACCTCTGCCTTCATCTTTTCATTCCTGCAGGCAGCACAGCAGAGGTAGTGTGTTTGAAGGGGAAAAAAAACCCAACTAATATTGAAGGTACAGTGGGATTTATTTTTTTCCTTCAACACATTCATCTTTACAAATGCTAGTTGATTTAATTTGGGAGGGGTTTTTTCCCCCCTTTTCCTGGTTTGAGGAGCTTAAAGACCGGCAGCTCTTGTGAAGGGCTTCCTTAAGCGCAGACGACGCTTCTGAAATGGTGTTAGAAGTGTCACGACGTTGCTTCCGGCGCCGTTCTCCCTTTTGGAAGAGCTTGACGCGGAGCGATACGCTTGGTTGCTTAAAAAAACCACACCTCTAACTGCTCTCTGCTGGGTAAGAAAGCTTTCTGGAGCGTTTCTGCAGAATGCCTGCTTGGACATCGCAGCTTTTGGGGTTTTTTGGAGCACGAGCCGGCCCGAATTGGCGTCTGGCGCTCAAGTCAACTTGCCAGAAAAGTCGATTGCTCCTCTTCGCCTGAGGGATTTCCTTCTGCTTTTCGGTGCTGCTTCGCTTTGCCTCTCATTTCCCCCGAGTAAGAAGACTGAGAGAACCCTGTGCTGTGTCCCAACACGCCCAAACTTTTCTTGGGGCAGCTCTCCCGGCTTCCTGCCCTCCCCTGCCAACCGCAGCTGAGCTGGGTACCTCCAGCTCCTCTTGGGGAAGGACTGAGCTGGTAGAATCTTCCTGATCCACGAAAATCCAACAAGGAGCCTTCCTGCTACTGCTGCGAAGGCATAAAAATTTGAAGGAATAATGGAATCTGTTTGTTGTTTGGGGTTTTTTTTAACCCCAGGTGGGTTTTACATCAAGCGTGTCAGACTCCTGATGCTTGTGCCAGGGGTGGGAGGGGTTGAGCAGCGCCCCTTGAGACTCCTGGCCCTTGGGGACAACTTATTTCCTGCACTAAACCCCTCTCTTCTAGACAAGCAGTTTGGCCTCGTAATTAAAAAATATACAGCAAGATCCGCTCTGTTCTTCCCCCCAAAATCGCAACGAGCCCGATTGCGTCCTGCAGAAAAATCCGTGATGTCCTTGTGCTCCGCGTGCTGCATCTTTACGCTGTAAAAAGCTTTTGGCTTCTCAAAGGGCCGACGCCAACTTGTTCCATTCTGGGAAACGTCTCAGGGGTCGAGCCGTGTCGGGTGGTGTTGGCCTGGTTCGCCTGGGCTGAAAAGAAACTGTGCAGATGGGGCTGCTTTTTACATTCTTAGTGTTTCGGGGATGTAAAATGCTCCTGCTCTCCTCCCGCACCAAATATTGAGTGGCCCGACGGGGTTTGTAAGTCACCGTGTCAAATTCAAAGTACTGGGGGTAAACTTGGATGGGATGGAACAAGTTGAAGGTGTGGCCAGGCAAAACTTTATCTATTACTCTTTTATTCCGCTGGGCTGGATTGCGGCTGAAATCTTACACTTTTCTCCGTGACGCTTTAAGCTACTCCTTTGAAGAATATTCCTGAAATTGCACAGAAAATGTGGGAATTTAGCCCCGTAGATTTTTCCTTTCTGATTCCCATTCGCCTGTGCGCAGGAGGTCCTGGCGCAGTGAGGTTTCAACATTTTGGGACCAAAAAAAAAAACCCCTTAAAAAGAACAATGCGAATGCTTCAGTTAGCCCCGGGCTTTATAGAAACGTAAGATTTAACTGAGCAAATTCCGTACAGGAGGAGCTCTGTCCAAGCTGCTGGGGTGACACGAGCTGCTCCCGGGTGCAGAAACTCGTAGCTACGAGGGGAAACGAGGAAAACGGCCTCAGGAGGCTGGGGGGTTCCTTGCTGAGCTCGCTGGGGGTCGGAGTGTGCGCGTTGCCTTACCCGCCAGCCCGGCCGTGCCCCTTTTCCAGCCCAGCCCTCCTGAGCGAGGCTGCGGGGGTCCCGTCGCAGGGAATCGCGGGGCGGGCTCTAACTCTCCTGGCTGGCAAAGGGAAACCCTCTCAGCTGCTTGCAAAGCTCCCCCAGCGCTTCCCCGGCTCTTGGGAGATGGAGCTTTGCAGCCCGAGTGACTTCTCTCCCTGTCGTTCTCCCTGTAGGTGCGTGGAGGGCGGCGACGGAAGAATGGGGCACCGAGGACTGGAATGAAGATGTAGGTACTCTCCGAACGCCTCCCCTCCGTCCTGGTTGTACCCGCAAAGCCCCAAACGGGGGCTGTGAGCCAAGCCAGGCTCCCTGCTCCGAGAGCCACCATGAATAAAGAGATGTCGCTGCTGCTGTTGTAGCAGAGCTTGGAGCCCGAGATAGGAGAAGGATCTCCCAGTCGAATCTGGTCCTTTCATTTCCAACAAAATCCTTCCAGAAACTGGCCCGATTCCACACGAGATTCTTCCCTGCTCTCCTCCAGGGGAGGGTTTGCCTTTGATCCGTGCTGCGGAAGAGGCAGCGGTGGTTTGGTGCCGGTCTTTGTGATTTGGATTGAGCAGAAGCTCTCGGCTTTACCTTCTGACTCGGTTGTTCGCGTGTCGCACTGCTTTGTTGTTCTCTGTCTGGCGTCTCCTTCCTTTAATCCCCTGTTTTAATGTCTATCAGTTTCTTCTGAAACAGGCTTCTGGCCCTCTCTGAATCAAGGGAGAACTGTTGTTGCAGGTGGGAGCAGGATTGGGTGGGGTTTTTTAGTTGTAGTATTAATTTTGCATGCTTTTTTTTTTTTGCTAAGCCCACAGAATGGTCACAGAAGGGAAAAGCTTTTGCTTTCCAGGCACCGTCTGAAGGAAGCGCTCCTGCTGTGGTTAGAGATGGAAGCAGCTTCTCTGCTCAGTCGGGTTTCTGCCTGAGGAGAGCCTTTGGTGGCCCTTCTTGCCCTCAGCCTGTGCGAAATGCTCCCAGGTGTTCCTGGGTTTGTTTTTAAACTCTTGCAATTGAGATGCTGGCAGCTCCTCAGCCTGGAATAAAAGCTGCTCGTATTCAGATACGTTCCAGCCTAAATCACAGGTGGCTCTCGCACCTCCCCTTCATGCGTTTCTGAGCAGTTTTCTTTTTGCCTTTCACAGCTGAGGTAAATCTGTTGGGCTCTGGTCAGATCGTCCAGGTGAGGCGAGGATCAGTGGAAGCTCAGCTCAGGTTTTTTCCCTCTGACTTCTCTAGCGGTGGCTTTTGCAGATCAGGGCTGCGTACCGTCAGCTTGGAGCACCTCTCTGAGAACAGCAGCCTTGCTGGATTTGTGGACTACTGGAAATTTGTAGAAGGATTTGAGTTTTGGTTTGTTTTTTTTTTTTCCCCCTGGCAGGTGATTTGTTCACTTGCCCGAGAAGAAACAAATAGGAGCTAATTCTGTGGGAGCCAAGTTAGAGCAGCTTCAATCTAAACACTTGTGTTTCTTGAACCTTTCCGTGGCTGTTTGTCTCAAACACTTCTGTGCTTTACTAGGAGTCCTGAGATGCTGTTCTCAATTTTGGATTCTTTTTCTGTTTTTTTTTTAATCTTTCAGCTGTCTGAGACTAAGATCTTCACTGCCTCCAACGTGTCTTCAGTGCCTCTGCCTGCCGAGAACGTGACAATCACAGCTGGACAGAGGTGAGAGCCCCTGGCGATGCGATGCTGTTGGTGTGGGACGAGCAGCGCGCAAGTCCCAGAGCAATTTGCCGTCTCGGACTAAACCTTGCCAGCGAGCTAAAATGCAGCAGCTCCAGATGAGATGAGATGGGTTTAAATGGAAACCTTGAGTTCAGAGTTGCCAGGTTCTAATCCTAGATGCGGGGTTTCCTAGATTCTGCTGCTGCTGCTTCTGATTTAGGGGTATTTTGCCGCATTAAGTTAACAGAGGACGTGCTTTAAAATAAGAGGCCGTGTAGGATCTTGTTTGGTCTCTGTGGACGTTCCTACCGGCAGTTGGGAGTTAATGTTCTGCAGATTTGTTTGGTTTTGTCAAGTCAGAGCTATAAATTGTGAGGCTGGACGTAGAACACCGCTGTAAAGGAAGCGAGGGGTGACAAAGCTCGTAGTAACCTCAGTGAGTTCTCTTCTGTCTTGTCCCAGAATCGATCTGGCAGTCCTGCTAGGAAAGACGCCCTCTGCTATGGAGAATGAGGCAACAAACCTGGAGTCGTCGCAGGCTCCTTCCCTGGCCCAGCCGCTGGTGTTCAGCAACTCCAAGCAGAGCGCTATGGCCCAGCCTGCCTCCGGGAACTCCTTCTCTCACCACAGTATGGTAAGGAACCACCGGGCTCCGCCAGCCTGCGGGTTTTTCAGGTGTTGGTTTCCCCTGACGTTCTCTGTCTGCGTCTGGGCAACGCGGGAAATGCCAGTTGTGCCGCCTGCTCGCTTCTCCCGGGTGGCACTTGGATGATTTGCCACTCTGCTCTAAATGCAGAGGCGTGGAGCCCATTGCTTAATTAGAAATAATTGGGATAATTCCTCCCCTGTTGCCCTTGTCTGACTTGCAGCACGTGCTGCTTCCCTGCTCAGAGGAGAAGAAAAACTCTCACGGTCCGGGGCTTGCAAATTCAATAGTTTGAGAGGTTGAACTGGTTGGGAATTTAGTGTGAGCTGAAATGTTGGCGTCTGCTGACAGGTGAAGGAAGGAGGCATCGAATCTGAATCAGGGATGTGCACAGAGCTGCTTAGGTGCACCTTTGTGTAACTTCAACAAAAGAAATAAAAATTGTTCACTCGACGGTGAGGATTTTCAGAACCGCCTTTACTGTAAAGGCAGAGAATGTGGTTGTTGTTAAGTGCAGCCGTATGCACGTGAATAATTCAGTGCGTTTTTAAAGATCCTGCCTGTCGAGCCTCTGTGGTGCTGTGAAGTGCCGTGGGCTGGGCGACAGGTAAAGGCTGCGAGAGGAGCGTGAGCTCACCTGGCTGCCAGCATCTGTGTTGCATGTGGGCCTCCGGGTGGTTAAGCTGAGGCCCCCGGTGAGAAGCAGCAGGGTTACAGTGCGCTCAGCCTTCTGTTAAGAGACGTATCTGTCCTCTGAGCCAAGTTCCGAGCCGAGGGAGACGTTGACTTTGTTATTTCACTGCTGAAATTGCAGGTGAGCATGCTGGGGAAAGGGTTTGGAGATGTCGGGGAGGCCAAAGGCAGCAGCACCACGGGTTCTCAGTTCCTGGAGCAGTTCAAGACAGCCCAGGCTCTGGCTCAGCTGGCTGCCCAGCACACCCAGCCCGGCGGGAGCACCACTGCTGCTTCCTGGGACATGGGATCCGCTACGCAGACCTCGTCTCTGGTGCAGTACGGTAAGCAAAAAGCAGCGTGGGCTTCCCGAAGGGGGAGCACGGTCTCCCAGAACTCCAGAAACACGGCGGCGTGAGCGATTCGGTGCAGGGCCAGGAGTTCACACAACCACAGAGTGTTTGGTCTTGGAAGGGACCTCGAGAGATCATCTAGTCCAACCCCCCCTGCCAAAGCAGGATCGTGACCAAGCCGGCCATGCTGGAGAAGCTAAAAGAACTGTGGGTGCAAGTTTGTGAGATTACATTTTAATCTCACAAACAAGTTTTTCCCTCTTTGTTTTATACTTAGAGCAGTTAAATCTCTCTGCCTCTTGGATGTTCCAGCCAGGGTCAGGGCCAGGGATGTGGTGTTCCCAAAACCCTCAGTGGGCAGAATTGCTTTTTGCTGTAAAGCTGCGTAACAGAGAAGGGGTCTGAAAGTGGGCACCTCTGGAGAATAATTCCCAAATGTCAACGCTTGTCAGTCTCATCTCCTCTCACGGCTGACCTGACGTTATTTTTTTAAAGGAATGCAGTTCTGGTGCCTGTTAAACGCCAGGAGGTCACTCTACCTCTAGGCTGGCGTGAGGGAATAAACAGGGATTAAGAGAGGCTCCTGCTTTTCGGGTGAGATGCTGAGCGCTGCTGCAGTCGAGTACCGACGTTTCTTTGAGCTCGTGCATTTCGTTTCTTGCCGTAGGGAAGTAGCTCTGCCTCAAATTGAAGCTCAGCAAAAACTGAGCAGCCCTGTCCTAGGAACAGTCAGTGGGGGCAGCTCCTGAGCTTCTCAGGCAAGGAGCCACAGAGGAAAGTCAGAGAGAGCGGGAGTTGAGTTTTAACGAGCTGCACTAAGGCTTTGGCGAAGGAGGGTGATACGATTGTGCAAAGAGCTGAGGGTGGGCAGCCCTGCGCAGGGCGTTACTTGGAGAATAACCTGATGCTTCCAGGGGAAAGAGCAGGCGAGGAAATGCAGCGATGCTGGCAGGTGGAGGGAAGGAAGCGGCGTCAGGCCCCGCAGAGCTCTGACCTGCACGGCTTCCACGCAAGGAGCTCAGAATTCCAGCTTTCCGTGGAGGTTGGAGGGTTTAGGCTGTGCTCGCTTTGTTCTGTAGAGATGGTGGAAGGAGTTGAGGGGAGAAGGGCTTAAAAGGCTCGGCGCCGGTGGTGGTGAGAGCACAAGGCTGGGAGTGGAAGTGCTGGGATTCTCTGCTGTCTGATTTTAACAGGATCGGGGAGTAGCCCGTGTGTGAAACGATTTTATTTTTCTTGATGCTGAGAAGTGTCGGAACTTGATTTAGATGTAAGGAAAGAAATCCTTTAACTCGACTCTCTCCCCACCCACAGATCTCAAGAACCCGACGGACTCTGCCGTGCATAGTCCCTTCACCAAGCGTCAGGCCTTCACGTCGACTTCGACCATGATAGAAGTGTTCATGCAGGAGAAGCAGCCTGTGGCGACTGCCTCCACGACCGTGCCGGCACCCCCGGAGGAAGACCCGCCTTGGGGCGACTCCCTCCGCGACCGTGCCGGCGCCCCCTTCCTCGCCGCTGCCCACCAAAACCAATCCTGTGCCCCAGATGTCCCCAGGATCCTCAGACAACCAGTCCTCCAGTCCTCAACCGGCGCAGCAGAAGCTGAAGCAGCAAAAGAAAAAAGCGTCGTTAACATCAAAGGTGCGGGGAGGGAGCCGTCGTGTTGCGTTAGAGCTGCGGAAAAATCCATTTGGGTTGATGAGGGAAGGGCTGGGCTTGGCTTTCCTGCTGTTGGCTTCGGGGTTTGTGGAGGGGATGGAGAAAAGCTGGCCAGCCCGCATCGAACGGCCTCGCTCAGAGGGTGCGAGGCTGGAACTCTTCACCGTGCGCTGGGAAACGTGGATCCTAAAGTGATTTTCTGTGCTGATCCCAGGGAGGGACTGACCCTTGCTGCTGTTCCTCCCTCGCAGATTCCCGCGCTCGCGGTGGAAATGCCCGGCTCAGCAGATATCTCAGGACTAAACCTGCAGTTTGGGGCGTTACAGTTTGGTTCGGAGCCTGTTCTTGCGGAGTACGAATCGACGCCCACGACGAGCGCTGCCGTGAGCCAATCTCAAAGCAGCCTGTACACCAGCACGGCTAGGTGAGGACCCGGGTGCAAGGAAGGGAGCAAATTAATCCCAGTGTGTAACTAGACTGTAGCCTGTTCTCGGGGGTTTTAGTTACGCCGCATACGCGTAGACCCTTTCTGACCGTGCCGTGGTCGCAAAGGGGGGACAATGTATGCAACAGCAAAAGTGTGAGTCGCCGACAGGTTGATTCAGGCAGCTCTCTGGCTGCTTGGCCTGTGGTACTTGGACAGAAAGCAGACGCTTCGCGCTGCCCTTAAACCGTATCGCAGGAAACAAGGTAGAGGAATCGCCAGCGTCACGGCCCCTCGTCCCTGGTGAGGGTTTTGTCCTGCGTTTTGCCTGGCAAACCAGGACGTGGTGGTGTACGGTGGTGTAGGCGTCTGATGCCTTGCCAAAGCGTTTCTGCCTTCTCTTGAGCAGACCCTTAGTATCTAATCGGTCCTTCGAGCGCTGGGACCTGAGCGGTGGCAGCTTGTGAAGTGTCGCCTTCAGGTGCGGCAGCGCTTGAGGCCAGGCTGCCCAGTAGGTGCCGGCATCCTCCCGCGGTCACGCTGGCCCCGGCCTGGGAGTGTTTCTCTTTTGCTTTGCTTTGTGGGGTGCCTCTGTGCTGATCCTTGGGGCTTTTCGTTTTGAAAATTTGAAATGAAGATCCTACTGTCTCAGTCAGCAGCTTAAGGGCAGGGCTGGTTTGGAAAAAAAGGTAATTATTTTCCATTGTTATTTTTATTTTTCCTTTTTCGTAGTGAATCTTCATCCACAATTTCGTCCAATCAAAGCCAGGAGTCTGGTTACCAGAGCAGCACAATACAGACAGCAACGTTTACCTCCCAGAACAGCGCTCAGGGACCACTGTACGAGCAGAGATCCACCCAGACGAGGCGATATCCAAATTCAATCTCCTCCTCGCCCCAGAAAGATCTGGCCCAGACCAAGGTAGGGAAATGCTTTGTTCACCCTTCGTGCTGAGCTGGGGAAAGCCAAGTTGGTTTATCAAGTGTTTCTGTGAGTCTCCTCACTTGTGGACTCTCGTGAGAGCTTCCTTGTGGCTGGTACCAGCTACGTGACTTACCTGGGGCTGGGGGGGTTATGACAGCGGTGAAGTCGATCGCAGGATGTGTCTTGTGCCACAAGTAACTTGCCGCGGAGTGACATTTGGGCTGAGGATTTAGTTTTGTGTTAAGGATCAAGAGAGGGGATTCTCCCCCTTTGCTCTGCTCTGGTGAGACCCCACCTCGAATCCTGCGTCCAGTGCTGGTGTCCCCACCGTAAGAGGGACATGGAGCTGTTGGGACGAGTCCAGAGGAGGCCGCAAAGCTGGGGCAGGAG